AACAGCTGCGAAACTTCTAGTATGGAGTCACCCATGGATAGCTACCTGGAGACCAGTACTCTCGATCTGGATGACCTCCAACATCGAGCAGCTCCGACAACGTCGCCACGGTCTAGGACATCATCTTCACCACAGTCGCCAAGGCGCGGGTTGATGGTATGGACCGGACGTACCTGGAATGGAAAGACCAATATTTTCTTCGTGGACCCCGGACTGAAGGTGAGCGCTGGCGGTTACATTGAGCAACTCGTGAAGAATATCCTCCTCACATGTCGTCGCCCGTACCTTCTTGGAAACTTTGTACTGCTACAGCATTGGGTGCCACCACATGGAATCGAAGGGCATTGGAGAAACTCTCGCCTACTTGGAATGGAAGGGGGCTGAGTACCTAAAGAAGATGGAATATCCAAGTAGGTCACCTGACCTGAATCCCCTCAATTACCCGGTTCGGGCGGAGTTCAATAGGGTGGTCTACGGTGGCGGAGAAATCGACTATCTCGCTGATCTCAGGCACCACATCGCGGTCGCGTGCCAGAATCTCTCGACATATATAGGGAGGGGGCAAAAAAAAAGACTTCGAGTCACATATCAGCAAAGTTTTCGCAGCCCAGACAGAGGACGTGGATACGAGTACCAGGGCGGAAGATACCCAAGATGTTCCTCGATAAGCAGGAGCTGGCTCTCGCCCATCACCTTCATGTACACCAAAATATGAAGTCATCTCCAGTCGCAGCCTGACTGGAGACCTTTGGAATTCATGTCACCTCCAAACAGCTGCGAAACTTCTTGTATGGAGTCACCCATGGGTAGCTACCTGGAGACTGGCACTCTTGATCTGGAAGACCTCCAACATCGAGCAGCTCGCTACGGTCCTGGATATCATCTTCGCCGAATGTGTCAATCGCCAAGGCGCGGATCGGTGATATGGACCGGAAGCTTCCTGGAAGACCGATATTTTCTTCGTGGACCCCGGACTGAAGGTGAGCACTGACGGTTACATCGACCAACTCGTGGAGAATATCCTGCCTTCATGTCATCGCCTGTACCTTCTTGGAAACTTCGTACTGCTACAGGATTGGGTGCCTCCACACGGAATCGAAGGGCGTTGGAAAAACTCTCGCCTAATGGAAGGGCGTTGAGTACCTGAAGAAGACGGAATAGTCACCTGACCTGAACCTCCTCAATTACCCGGTTCGGGCGGAGCTCAACAGGGTGGTCTACAGCGGCGGATCTTGCTGAATCAACGATCTT